TTTTTTTTTTTTTTCTGCATAGAGAGCCCCAATTCTTACACTTCCAAAAGCCAATTCACGTGTAGAACACTGTGATTGTGCTCTGTGGATCCCAGTAGAGGGAAAGCCTGAACTCAAGAGCCTGTTCCAATTAACAAGCCATATGAGCGATTTTCAGTTTCATCTATTTTCTTGTCCAAAAGATGTCAGGAAAGCTGGATGTGTTAGTCACAGAAAAAAATCCAGTAGATCAGGCCTACTCCAGAAATGTCTTAAATTTAACTCAAAGGTCCTAGATTGAAGCATATACTGGAATAAATCTGAATTCTCTGGGGAAACTCTAAATTTACCTTCCCTTAGTCTGATAAGCTCCTGGAGTTGAGCGCAGAATACATTAGGTCTGTTCCATCACTTCAAATTCATGTAAAAAAGCAGTACCCCAAAGGAAAGCTGTCTTTTTTTCCCCATTGATGAATCCTTTGACATTTAACTTTAAGCTGCTTTCCCTATTTTATATGATACCCTTCTTGTCCTACTTTATAGGAACTGTACATTCAGGAGGTTAAAAAAAAATAAAAAAGCAAACTTCATTGTTTGACTGATCTATGAACTCCACTTAGGCAAGATTAGACACAGAGAAGTTGTAATCTTTTGTCGTTGACTAACAGTTGTTGCTTGGATACACTACAACTTTCCCTTATCTATTACCCTGAAACTCTCTAACTCACTATAAACCAATTTAAAATTGAAATACTTTAGGCCAAACATCCATTTCGGGAAAGATGAAGTAGATATACTTTTTCTTATTCCTCCCACTAAGTACTAAGCTAAAAATTCTGGATATTATATATAAAAGAAACATAAGATGACACTGATAGGTGGAGAGAAAAAGGAAGACTAGCTAGGCATCTGGGGCCACGAGGACCAACACAATGATGAGTTCACTGAGTTTTCTTTTTGTCTCATCTACTCTAGACTGGGTACAGGAAAAGCCAGCAAGGCAGAAACTCCAATGGGCATAAAAAAAAAAAAAAGCACCTAAGAAAAGCCTGCTCTTTCTAGTCCAAGGAGCAGAAAAGGTATAGCCTAATAAGACAGAAAACTTTTAGACAATGAATGATCTACTTCAGTCAACACCACTAAAACAAACCACTGTGGCCCACTCTTGCCTCCACCAGCAAAGGCCAAGTGGAGAGCCTTGGATTCTACCTTCACTCGACTGTAACAGAACACTGCCACCCACCTGCTGGCACCCCAGAGGAGGTCTAATGTAGAGTCAGGACTTTCACCACCTCCCAGCAGAAATGAGGTCACCCCTCCCCACCCCACCCCCTCCACAATTGCGGAGTCAGTGGAGACCACTGGCAAAGTGACAGAGCATCCTTTCCCATCACAGCCAGGTTGGTATCAGCAGAGGCCTAGATGGAGGTTGAACTCCCATGACTCCCCAGCAGTAATGAGGAGCCCCTCACTTGCCCCCTCCTACCCCCCACCCCAGTCCCCAGGTGTCACCTGCATTTGCAGTTCCTCTCCAGCCTGGGGAGGTGGCACCCACCTGATTCTGCTAATGTGATATTATAGGAGTTCTCCTAAAGCACAAGATTTGAATAAGATCCAGTCTTGTAACATAATAACCAAAATGTCTAGGTTTCAACTGAAAATCATTTGTCATACCAAGAACCAGGGACATCTCTTCTTGAATGAGAAAAGACAATTTAGAAATGCCAATATCAACATGACAGAGATGTCTGAATTATCTGACAAGGATATTAAGGACACTATCATAGCAATATTTCAACAAGCAATATAAACATGCTTGAAACAAATGAAAAAAAATAGAAACTCTCAGCAAAACAATAGAAGATATACAGAAGAACCAAATGGAAATTTTAGAACTGAAAATTACAAGAATTTTAACTAAAACTCACTGACTAGGATTTTTAGAATTGGACAAAGGAAAGAATCAGTGAACTTGAAGATAGAACAACAGAACTTACCAAATCTGAGCAAATTAGGGAAAATAAACTGAACAACAACAAAAAAATGAACAGGGCTTCAAGGACCTGTGAAATTATACCAAAAGATCTAATATCCATTCCTTCAAAATCCCAGAAGGGGTAGGGAAAGAGAGTAGGATTAAAAAGATATGAAGAAATAATGGTTGGAAATTTCCTAAATTTGGCAAAAGAC